TATATATATATATATATATATATATATATATATATATATATATATATATATATATATATATATATATATATATATATATATATATATATATATATATATTTATGTTTGTATTTATGTATGTATGTATGTATGTATGCATATAATTGACTGTAATTTGATTCAATTATTTTTTTACTAAAATTAAAAATTAACTGAATTAAGAAAATTCATTTAATTGTTGTGGACGAGTAGAAATTGACTGATTAAATGCAATTTGAGAACAATTAAAAAATTTCAGAAAAAAATTGGTCACATCCTATTTCGAGTACTGTGTTATGTTTTTTTTGGTTTAGAGCATTAAAAGGAAAAAAATAAATCTACAAGAATTTGAAGATCTTAGAACTAATTTTAAGTTGATAATTTACTTTCATAACATCATAACCCTTGCTATTTAGTTTCATAAATTTTACATATTTGTGAGAGTTTTCATTTGGTTGCTAAACTGAAGAAGACAAATCGTTTAGGAAAGGTGATGATTAGGAAGAAGAACAAGTCAAAGAAAGAGTAGAACAAAATGAATACAATTAATTGAGGAAATAATGTCATCCTCGAATCACTTCAGTGTACTGTGAAAAGAAGACCATTCATTCAGGAACGTGTTATCTTCAAGCCAAAGAGACTACTGTGAATTTGTTCAGCGAGATATGATTAGATAAAGAGAGGAATTTGTTCAGCGAGAAGCATGGATCCTGAACTTAAGAAATGATAGATGGAGAGTCAATTCTTCTTCTCTAATTTTCATAAAATTACTATAATGATGGTATTAGATGTCGATAACATTTCTAACCCTTTTATCTTTCACAGAATTATTATAATAATAATATTATATATCGATGATTAGAATTCAAATGTATTATCATTATATAAGCAAAAGTTTATGAAAATATATTATGAGAGAATCTTTCTCATTAAGATTGTATTAGGACTCTAGTTAGGAGAGTCCTAATTGTGTTTCATTGAAAGGGGTATTCATGTAAAACCTACTTAGCCGATCCCTATTAAAGAGGTGAAGAGGTTGGCTAAGGTTAGGATTATTGGATGATGATCTAATATCCATTAAGCGAGGGGTTATTGGATAGAGATCCAATACCAAACAGAATGATCCATTAAGGTTAATTAAATGAGACTCTCTATATATAAGAATTGGGGCTTAAAGAGTCATAGGTTAGACTCTTACTACCGCCACCTTTTACATCTCCTCCCTACCCTTTCCTTCAGTCAACTATCTCCTCTTTGGTGTGAGAGGACAATAAGAGAGATCGATCCCTCCTTGTTGTTGTAGTGGGGTGGTGCGCAAACGCGAGGAAAGAGCGTGCTTCGTGTAAAGGTGCGTTATCGCTGTATCTGTTGTGTGGATCATCACTAGAGAAGAGTTTGCGAGAACTCCTTCATTCACGAATTAAGATCTATAGATTAGGGATATTGTTAGGACTCTAGCTAGGAGAGTCCTAATTGAGAGGGACATTCATGTATTAAAATTTTTTTCTATTGATCAATAATCTTAATCAAAATTTAATTAAATCTCTAATATATCTTATACTAAATTATTAGACACATAATCTAACAAACTTGTTCTTTATCTTCTTAATTATGTAGCCTAAGCCCTAAAAAAAAAAAACAAGAATCGAAACAGAGCTTGAAGTTGGTTACGAAGATATTAATCATTATGTCCCTATATAATTTGTTAATTTGTTCAAATTTGCATTACGATTCTTATTGATCACCAGAATAGCTTTATGAACGCTGATGCATGCTTCTCTCTCTGAGACCTGAAACTACACTCGAGACACTTCTCTCACATAATTCAAAGACAGATTGTGTCAGACATGAATCCATTAGCTTTTATCTTCAAGGAGCAAATCTTCCAAAAACATGTATATTTAGGCCAAAGCTCCAACTACAATATGGATTCTTCCTTGTTCCTCTTTCATCACTATCAACTTTGTATGGAACTATGGATTTATTTCGTCCATTCTGCTCTAGCTTATGCCTTTGTTGTGTTAATTGAGTGATATTTGAATCAGAGCAACAAACATTCATGATTAGGAACCATGTTGTGACCTGCACTAATGAGCAGATCATTTGTTCTCCGAGTTCAGCTTCATGCACCTAACACATTGTCGGAGGCAGCTTGGCTCATTGTGTTGTTCATCCCCTGAATCATCTCAGAGTTGATGTGTAAGTCTATTCCATAAGGTGCACCGAACAACGTGAGATTGGTCCATATAGCATCATACACTCAGATCACCAGTTGTTAAGATCAAACTCTCAAAGAACCCCTCAGTTTTGTAGAAGTTACATATATGACGTTCGAAATGGGTAGAGGAGTAACTGCTTGATGAAGTATTGCAGACGCGTTTTTGCTGAATCTTTCTTTACAAGATGTCGGCACTAGCGATAATCTATCTGCATCAAAGAAGATTGCATGATGCCTTTGGTCATGGGGAGATACGCCATTGACAGGTTGGCGCCGTGTAATGCCTGCATGATCCCTGTCGATCCCTCATCCTATGAGGTTCCACTGAGGCCACAAGTCTTTGTCAAGAACAATACTGATTTCACTAGGTCAACCCAATCTATGGAGTACCTCAAACTATGTATCTTCCTCACAACTGCGACCACAAAACCTCCAATGTCAAATTGTGGATGCCCATTGTTCTGTACAATTCCGCTGAAGATGTTGTTATCATATCGTAGTCCATTGTTTCATGTCTTCCAAGCATGAATTATTCTCGAGATCCATGAGCTAGTAAAGTTCCTAAACTTGGTAGTAACACTTGGGATTTAATCTCACAATCACCTTGTTCTTGCTATCTTTGGTTTGAATCTTGAGCTAGTGGTTGAGCTGAAGCTGCAGAAGAATAATCCTAGGGGACCATCTTGATCTTTGTATTCTTTTCGAGTATTCATTTCTTTGTGGACAGTGAAACGTATTAAATGGCTTTGTCATCATCCAAGGTGGTTGAAAAGAACAGGGCCTGACCTTTGTCAGAAGCTGAGCAAAACCTTGTCCCTTGAACTCCAATTTAGGGTTCGCCAAAGTCTTTGCGTACACATATATGGAGAATCACAAACAGGGATTGTGGCATGCATTCTTCTATATAAGCAACCCAGTTGTGTGTGTGCTCTCTGCACCTTAATCACACACCAAGGTAGGAAGAATGGAGATGTACCATGTGGCTGTCCTCCTCCTACTTGCACACTTCGCCTCCTTCCCTCATTCCCTGGCTTGCCCCTACTGCTCCACCCCAACCACTCCCCCCAAGCAGTCCCCGCCGCCGCCGCCTCCGCCGTCACCGTGCCCTCCTCCACCGCGCAGTGTGGGGCCGGTGCCCCCGTCGCCCAAGACGCCGTCGCCACCGTCGTCCGGGACGTGCCCCATCGACACCCTCAAGCTGGACGCATGCGTCGACCTGCTCGGCGGGCTGGTGCATGCGGTCATCGGCCAGGACACGCAGGACAAGTGCTGCCCGGTGATCCAAGGCCTCGCGGACTTGGACGCCGCGCTGTGTCTCTGTACTACTATTAAGGCCAAGGCGTTGGACATCAACGTCCTTCTTCCTATTGCGCTTGAGCTGCTCGTTGACTGTGGCAAGCATGTGCCATCGGACTACCAGTGCCCTGCTTAATTACTAGAAGAAGCCTGTACCAAGTGTGTTACGATCATAAATGCATATATGCATGCATTATATGGCTATGGAATGCTTGTAAGTGGTAATTATTGGCTTAAATGTGTCTAATAAAATCTTTTATATGGTCTACTAAATATAACTCAATAGCCTTCTCGATGTTTCTGTGTCCAATTCTTCGTCGTCGTCTTCTTCTTCTTCTTCTACTTAAACTTCTTCCTCTCCTTCTTAAACTTCTTAACATCGCCCATGCATTGGGCAATGTTATACGTAAATGCCATGCAAAGGAAGAAATAACAGAGAAATCATATTCTGGACTTGGCATAGCCACAGGTCTCTATCAGATTATGTGAGATTCCTGACACATAAAAAGACTTGATTGCTGCAGGTGGAATGTTATACATTATCGCTTGGTTTATATCCGGTGGAAATTGATAAGGAATAATAATATACCTATATATTTTATCAGAACTCCTGATACTGTAAAATCAAGCAAAGAAGCTCAAAATATATTACATGAAGGAATTTCTATTGGTTTCTAAATTTATTTGTTCCATCCAAAGATTGCATAACATAAAACTTGAACTCCTGATATTTTGATTGAGTGCATGCAGGGCATCTGAACCACTAGAATATTTTACAATTTGATTTTATGCACAATGACAAAAAGAACTGTGCATTATTTTATTTGATTAGAGATAGAACACATATCACTTCTAATCTAAAGTTTTCCAGGCTTTTGATAGAGAACTTTCCTACAAGCTCAATGGAGAGTCAAAAGTGCATATCTGAAATGATAATTTAACATGAATTGGTTGTGGCAAATGACAATTAGTTTCCATTTCCTATTTACATAAACTTTATAAAAAAAATCATTTAAGCTAGTTTTGCCAAGAGTTAGCTGCATTTGATATAATTATGTTAGATAATGTGTATGCAAATTGTAATACTTGGATTAGTGGATTAACATCAAATTGTAGCTGAATTTGTAAGTTATAATTCCAAAAACCACATATGATATTCATTTGATGTCACGGATACCTAATCGCATCATTTTTGGTCTCAAGTCTCTGTTGAATTACAGGAATTTCTCGTTGCCACTTGCATATATAGTCAAAACAAAATCATGTGGTAGTATGTAAGTCGTACCCAATTATCACATCAACAAAAAGACAATGAATAAGCCAACATTTGCACAAGTGTGAATCTTCTTTAGCTTCAGACTACGGGCACAGCTTCAGACAAAACGAAAAAAGTCAATTAAAATCCAATGCAATCATCTAAAACATTAGTGTAATGATCGAGGAGATATAACATAATTTGAATTAAGTATGCTCTCTATTTAGGATCCACAAGGCCAACCGATTAGGTACAATCACCTCATTAACAAAATAAACTGGATTTGGTTATTAAGAGAATTGTTAATCAAAACATCAAATTAAAATAGGTGTTGAACACCTTATTACAAAATGCACACACATATACTGTCGTCCTCAACACATATACTTTCTTCATTATCAATATTTGGTTTTCTTTTGATCGTGAAAGTAATTAGGGTTTATTATTTAAATACTAATTAGGATGTCCTAAAACATTGATCATTGACATATATTAGCTAAAGATTGATTTAGAGCATTATTTAGATATATCAATAAGGGAGTTTAATTTAGCGCATTCAACTGATAATCATCAATCAAAGAGTATGATTAATCTAGAAATTAATGAGGTATTAAGGCACTCTAATTTATATTTTTCTCATTAATTCTATTCTTCTCATTCACTTATGACACTTAACACTTAACTATTTCTTTCTATCATCTAAATAACATTTCAATTTAAAGGATACTGATTTAGCTATAAAAACTTTGATAGATTATTGTAAGATCTTGGGTTTGAATAAAATAATATATTTTAGTTTTCACTTTTCTCATTTATAAAAAAAATAATTTTTATCGATTAAAATAATCAAGCTAAATTATCCTAGTTAAGCTAATTAATTAAATTAACCCAATATTATAGTTGGATTAGCAAATAAGATATAAAATTCTTAAGCCATCCATCTCGATTAAACTATTTAAACTAGATTATGTTATTTCTTTTATTAGAAAAAAATATTATTGACGTCTTCATTAGTCGATTTAGTCTAGATCTATATGCATAGGAATATCCGAAATGTCTCCGAGGTGAAAATACCATGCTCTCAAGAGCCCACCTACATTATGACCGAGGTCAAAAGGGTTTTTCAAACCAATTTTTTTAATGCTCAGATTAATTATCCAAGATCTCTAAATAAGGGTTTAAGTAGTATTTGAAAAAAACAACTACCTCTTTTTTCTCTATTTGCGAAAAGAATAAAAATAAAGTTTAGGATTACCTTTGTTGTCATAAAGGAGAAAAGAGTTTGATGTCTTGTTAGATTATGTGGCCCTATTTAATTAGGTAATATATATTATAGATATGATTAGATTTTGATTATAGTTATTGGCCAATATAAAAGAAGTTCATGTTATAGTAAGATTCCTTAGGGAATGCCCTTGATGGGAGAAACTCTCCTAATAACTTATCCTAGACCCTCTGCTCTCGCCTATAAATAGACAGGACCTCTAGGGCTAAATATACGCATCTCAATACAGTTGAGAGACTAAGGATTTTTTTTTAATCTCCATAATCCATCAATCTAGGTGGTCACGTGAAAAAATAAGAAGAGAGGAGAAGGAATGTCTAGTTCTCCTTGCAGATTGATATCTCAGATCCGACGATGGTGCACATGTAGATCAGATAAAGATCAGATGAGGTTTATTCTTTTGAACAACAATAAAAGGTATGTATCATAATATTCTTTAGATCTACTATTATTTGATTTTAGATTTTGGCATAAAAGTTTTTTCGCATTACCGATAGCATGAGTATAGATTTTACACTAACATATCTTCTTGGTCATAAAGGAAGAAAAGGAGGTTTCTGATTGCTTTTAATTCCATAATGAACGAGAATAAAGTTTATGTTTCCCTGCTTTAAATATTTATCCATATAAGTGGATGGGTAAAGGGTTTCTTGGATCCCACGCGATAACCGCATATCAACTGACAATAGATTCCTTATCATTTGTCTCTTCTTGAAGACATATTTCAGAGTCCTTATGGGAGGGGTTTAAAGTGCATTGTTTAGCTTGTCTAGCACGGGAGCGTTCGAGGTCTCATTGCTAGTCATAGGTGCCTAGCAAGCCAATCACGTGAGTGATGGCATATGTGACTTGACATGGAATCTTTTTTAGCTTATTATATTTTAGCATTTATCACTTTATATTAACTATTGCATATATGCATGTATATATTATGATGTCCTTGGATCTGTGTAATGGGAATCGGATCGTGATGAGATCATGATAATGAAATTGATTCACCTTTAAACACATATCATAAATAATCCCGATTATAGGTTACTCGAGACGGACATCGTGATAACTGGACAGACTAGTGTGTTGTATACCTGTCCATATGATGGATGCAACTGGTCTCATAGTTGTTCATGTGGGGATACTAGGGATACAATATAGGTGCTAATTGGAAAATGAGTTCACTGATTGATCCGCTTACGGAATGCTAGATGGTTGATGATGCCTTATTGTTAGACAGCAATTCCGTAGTCCTAGTGGTGTATCTGATCCTTAAACTTGAGACACCAAGGATATCTTATATAAGTGCTTTACTCTTTGATATCAGACTTATAGGTTTAGTTGTCCCAGATCTAGTATAGCTGGTCATTGGGAGTGACAATCGACCTTATGAGGACTATTGAGTGTCGATAGAGGATCATCCATTCTCGGCGTCATGAGAGGAATATCCCATGTGTTCTTACTCAGACAAATCCCTAGCCAGGGTCATTTAGGTTGAGAGAGAAAGAGTCCTCCGGGAGAATAGGATTAGAGCGAGACTCGAGAAGAAACCGTATGGGTCTGACAACACCATGCCTGATATACGGTCTTTGGGATATTAGATGGATGAGGGACTATAGGTACACGGTAACTGAGGATAGACAAGTCCAAATGATTGGATTCCCTTGTATCGTCTTGGGACTACGATGTAGTGGCCTAGTACGTCCATAGTCGATGAGTCGAGTAAATTATTACACAGATAATAATTCACTAAGTTAGAAGGAGTTCTAATAGGTATGACTCATGGCCAGTTCAATATTGGGCCTAAAGGGTCACACATATATGGTAGGCATTGCGATAAGTAGAGGTTCGAATATGAGATATCCACCGGAGCCCCTGTCTTATTGGATATCCAATAAGCCCTTGAATTATTGGATCCCATGGATGAGATCCAATAAGAGCCCATGAGAGATTATTTGATAGAGATCCATTAATCTAAAAGGCTTCGGTAATTGGATGCAGATCCAATACCTACTAGGGGAGGATCCATTAGGTTTTTTGATAGGGGACCTCTATAAATATGAGGGATTCAGAGCCTTATAGGCTAGAGCCTTTGTTTGCCTCTCCTATTCTCCTCCCCCTCTCCACCTTAGAGCAGGCTTGGAGTTTTAAGGAACGTCATCGCATCTCTGCTGTGTGGATCACCACTAGAGAGGAGGATGCTTGACCTCCTTTACCCTCTCCTAAAGATCTACAAGGAAACAGGGATATACGATCTTCCTAAGTAACACAATCTACTCTATACGTAGTTTTAAGTTTTGTGGATTTTTACGCACCAATCTTTGTACGATGATGAACATCTCTTTGGGAATAGGAGATTTTGTTTTCTTGTTCTTCCGCTGCACATGTGATGTCGCCCCCCCAAGATTTCCAACAGTGGTATTAGAGCCGGGTTGTTCGTGCGATAGATTGGTTTTGAACTACGTGTGTTATGTTTTGGAGAAGCTTTTGATGTCAAAATCGTTGATGCAAAAGCGAGAAAGGGCAGAAATTATTGCTGCCCTTGCTGTCGTTGCAGATGGCAGCACTGCCATCTACGTGCAAGCAGGCCGCGTGCGGCCAGGCCCTTGTGCACGGGCATGGCGGTCACTTGCGCGTGGGCACTGCGCCCGCACATAAGGGCGGCGCCTCCATGTGCTGAACCCACGGGCAGTGGTGCCAGCGGCCACTGCATCCGCAGGCTAAGGCACAACAGGGCAGTGGTGCCTGCGAT